GGTGGTGGTGGTGGTGGTGGTGGTGGTGGTGGTGGTGGTGGTGGTGGTGGTGGTGGTGGTGGTGGTGGTGGTGGTGGTGGTGGTGGTGGTGGTGGTGGTGGTGGTGGTGGTGGTGGTGGTGGTGGTGGTGGTGGTGGTGGTGGTGGTGGTGGTGGTGGTGGTGGTGGTGGTGGTGGTGGTGGTGGTGGTGGTGGTGGTGGTGGTGGTGGTGGTGGTGGTGGTGGTGGTGGTGGTGGTGGTGGTGGTGGTGGTGGTGGTGGTGGTGGTGGTGGTGGTGGTGGTGGTGGTGGTGGTGGTGGTGGTGGTGGTGGTGGTGGTGGTGGTGGTGGTGGTGGTGGTGGTGGTGGTGGTGGTGGTGGTGGTGGTGGTGGTGGTGGTGGTGGTGGTGGTGGTGGTGGTGGTGGTGGTGGTGGTGGTGGTGGTGGTGGTGGTGGTGGTGGTGGTGGTGGTGGTGGTGGTGGTGGTGGTGGTGGTGGTGGTGGTGGTGGTGGTGGTGGTGGTGGTGGTGGTGGTGGTGGTGGTGGTGGTGGTGGTGGTGGTGGTGGTGGTGGTGGTGGTGGTGGTGGTGGTGGTGGTGGTGGTGGTGGTGGTGGTGGTGGTGGTGGTGGTGGTGGTGGTGGTGGTGGTGGTGGTGGTGGTGGTGGTGGTGGTGGTGGTGGTGGTGGTGGTGGTGGTGGTGGTGGTGGTGGTGGTGGTGGTGGTGGTGGTGGTGGTGGTGGTGGTGGTGGTGGTGGTGGTGGTGGTGGTGGTGGTGGTGGTGGTGGTGGTGGTGGTGGTGGTGGTGGTGGTGGTGGTGGTGGTGGTGGTGGTGGTGGTGGTGGTGGTGGTGGTGGTGGTGGTGGTGGTGGTGGTGGTGGTGGTGGTGGTGGTGGTGGTGGTGGTGGTGGTGGTGGTGGTGGTGGTGGTGGTGGTGGTGGTGGTGGTGGTGGTGGTGGTGGTGGTGGTGGTGGTGGTGGTGGTGGTGGTGGTGGTGGTGGTGGTGGTGGTGGTGGTGGTGGTGGTGGTGGTGGTGGTGGTGGTGGTGGTGGTGGTGGTGGTGGTGGTGGTGGTGGTGGTGGTGGTGGTGGTGGTGGTGGTGGTGGTGGTGGTGGTGGTGGTGGTGGTGGTGGTGGTGGTGGTGGTGGTGGTGGTGGTGGTGGTGGTGGTGGTGGTGGTGGTGGTGGTGGTGGTGGTGGTGGTGGTGGTGGTGGTGGTGGTGGTGGTGGTGGTGGTGGTGGTGGTGGTGGTGGTGGTGGTGGTGGTGGTGGTGGTGGTGGTGGTGGTGGTGGTGGTGGTGGTGGTGGTGGTGGTGGTGGTGGTGGTGGTGGTGGTGGTGGTGGTGGTGGTGGTGGTGGTGGTGGTGGTGGTGGTGGTGGTGGTGGTGGTGGTGGTGGTGGTGGTGGTGGTGGTGGTGGTGGTGGTGGTGGTGGTGGTGGTGGTGGTGGTGGTGGTGGTGGTGGTGGTGGTGGTGGTGGTGGTGGTGGTGGTGGTGGTGGTGGTGGTGGTGGTGGTGGTGGTGGTGGTGGTGGTGGTGGTGGTGGTGGTGGTGGTGGTGGTGGTGGTGGTGGTGGTGGTGGTGGTGGTGGTGGTGGTGGTGGTGGTGGTGGTGGTGGTGGTGGTGGTGGTGGTGGTGGTGGTGGTGGTGGTGGTGGTGGTGGTGGTGGTGGTGGTGGTGGTGGTGGTGGTGGTGGTGGTGGTGGTGGTGGTGGTGGTGGTGGTGGTGGTGGTGGTGGTGGTGGTGGTGGTGGTGGTGGTGGTGGTGGTGGTGGTGGTGGTGGTGGTGGTGGTGGTGGTGGTGGTGGTGGTGGTGGTGGTGGTGGTGGTGGTGGTGGTGGTGGTGGTGGTGGTGGTGGTGGTGGTGGTGGTGGTGGTGGTGGTGGTGGTGGTGGTGGTGGTGGTGGTGGTGGTGGTGGTGGTGGTGGTGGTGGTGGTGGTGGTGGTGGTGGTGGTGGTGGTGGTGGTGGTGGTGGTGGTGGTGGTGGTGGTGGTGGTGGTGGTGGTGGTGGTGGTGGTGGTGGTGGTGGTGGTGGTGGTGGTGGTGGTGGTGGTGGTGGTGGTGGTGGTGGTGGTGGTGGTGGTGGTGGTGGTGGTGGTGGTGGTGGTGGTGGTGGTGGTGGTGGTGGTGGTGGTGGTGGTGGTGGTGGTGGTGGTGGTGGTGGTGGTGGTGGTGGTGGTGGTGGTGGTGGTGGTGGTGGTGGTGGTGGTGGTGGTGGTGGTGGTGGTGGTGGTGGTGGTGGTGGTGGTGGTGGTGGTGGTGGTGGTGGTGGTGGTGGTGGTGGTGGTGGTGGTGGTGGTGGTGGTGGTGGTGGTGGTGGTGGTGGTGGTGGTGGTGGTGGTGGTGGTGGTGGTGGTGGTGGTGGTGGTGGTGGTGGTGGTGGTGGTGGTGGTGGTGGTGGTGGTGGTGGTGGTGGTGGTGGTGGTGGTGGTGGTGGTGGTGGTGGTGGTGGTGGTGGTGGTGGTGGTGGTGGTCGTTGTTGTTTATTTTGCTTCGCAGATTCTAACAGGCAGGTTGCCCAATAACAAGAAAGCGAAGAACAAGCGAAGGACAAGAAAATAATCATAAATGGCAAAAGAAAGTAACTCTGTTGCCGTGTTGGCACACGTGTGGGAAGAAAACCTGCTGCATGTAGATCGAAAAAAATCGATCGTATCGCATATTGAAGTGCAGTGATGCATCGGTACGGTAGTGATAAAATCATGGAAATCAAGACAAAAGGGTATGGCCGATACCAGGGAGTCGTAAAATTATTGTATTTTACGACTCCCTGGCCGATACAGACTGTACTACAGTGCTGGCAATTGAAATCCGACCCCCTAGCGTCTCGTACGAATCGCTAACGTGGCTAGCGCACCGCTAGGGGGGTCGGATTTCAGTTGCCAGCACTGTACGAGGTGATTCGTAATTTTTTCTTAAAGGGGAAGTATACCCTAAAATCAAATGTTCACCATTAATATTTTGTAGTGGTGGTTGTAGTCTTCGGGGTGCTGAGTCGAATGGTCTTGGTCCGAGGAAGCTGAGACGCTCCCTTCCTCCTTTATTCCCAATCGAACTCGCGCACTTCCACCGAAACTGGGTGACTGCGCCCTACTAGATGGGGATTTGTATGCAAAATGTCACTAAAAGCGCCATTTCGTTCTTATAAAAGCACGGATGACCGCGATTGGCCCATATGTTGTAATCTTTTGGACGCTGAGTCGACTGGTTTTGGTCCGAAAAGGCTGCGATGCAGTGTTCCTCCTTTATTCCCAATCGAACATGGTTGAACAAGCGGTCACGTGCTCCTGCGTACACCAATCACCTGGTCACCGTGCCTGCAGGGTACAACTAATTACTTACTAGCCTGTTTGACCTTTTTTGGGTGCAGTCCTGTCACTCGAGTTGAACTCGAGTTGAACTCGAGTTGAACCTTGGTGTGAAAGTTGTCGCCTGCTGGCGCGGTGACCAGGTGATTTGGGCACCCAGGAGCACGTGACCGCTTGTTCAACCATGTTCGATTGGGAATAAGGGAGGAACGCTGCATCGCAGCCTTTTCGGACCAAAACCAGTCGACTCAGCGTCCAAAAGACTACAACATATTATGGGCCAATCGCGGTCATCCGTGCTTTTATAAGAACGAAATGGCGCTTTTAGTGACATTTTGCATACAAATCCCCATCTACATGTAGTAGGGCGCAGTCACCCAGTTTCGGTGGAAGTGCGCGAGTTCGATTGGGATTCAAGTAGGAAGGGAGCGCCGCAGCTTCCTCGGACCAAGACCATTCGACTCAGCACCCAGAAGACTACAACTAGTGAAAATTTGATTGTAGGGTATACTTCCCCTTTAACAAATCGGCAAAATATCTCATTGCCAGCGCCTGCAAAAAGTCACGTCAAATTTCTTTTTGCCATTGCCATTGCCAATGTTCTGTCAAGTTCGCCTCCAAAATAATTAATTGAGACTGATATTCCTTCAGGAAGTGACATTGCAAGAGCTTTCAGTCTGCATGTGCGCGATGTTTACGGTAAAATAAAGTACAGTTGTATAAGAGAGTCATAGCCGCTGGTTTCAACCTCCAGTGACAACATATTAGCTGAAGAGGAAGCATAATGATAGCTACATACTGGAAACGACGCCTGGGAAGGAGGAATGTCGGTGTGTTGGCCCTGGTAATGGCCAAACATTGGCAATTACTGAATTTACTAACAGATGTTGATCAAAATTGCACATGAAATCAGGGTGATACATATTGCGGCAAGCTTGAATGGCTTGTATTTGGATGAACATGATCTTGATCCAGTCTTGCTGGACCATCCTGGATACGTAGGGTCTCCTTCTATTGAAAGCTGACTTGAATTTGTGCTGCTAAGGCCTACATGTATTTTACCATGATGTTAAGAGAAATGACCACAACAAAATAATATGCGGAAATTGCCATTTTTCAACTGCCACCTGCTTCCCAACACCAAGGATTATGTGAATGACAAACCCAACATTGCAATCCAAGGACATCAGTATTACATTAATTTTAGAGGAAGAAATGGAAAGATTCACACCTCGAACCCTACGGAAGGCTTTTTTACGTTCGTGTTAAAATAATGACGAATCACCTGCACCTCGTACAATTACAAGTCCACGGCCGGACGGACTCGGTGCAGCGTGCGCTAGCGCTGCGTGGGGCAGTACTGAGTAGGTCTACTACTGACAGGTACTACATGTAGTATGTAGTAGTCGAACACAATGATTGGCATGCCCAGCATACCTCAGTAACCTGCACTGACTCTGTACTGTAGCTGTATGCGTGACGTGCTGACTAGACCATGTACTGAAGTGAAGGCCGCATTCGCAGGTAGAGCGCATTTTTAGACTTAGAGTTAGACTTTTAGTTAGAGTTAGACTATGTTAGAGGTTACTTGCATGCTCACTGATCATGGTGATCGCTGTACACCAAGTACGGAAGCAGAGAAAACTGTCGTTGCACAAAATAAAGCAGCACGCACAGCTCCAGTAGGATCGCACGCACAACATCGGCTCGCTAGCACTAAAAGTTTAGATGTCTCAAGTAACCAACTCGTGCGTATTTTAGTAGCAGTAGCAGAACTAACTCGTAACTGTTACTTGTCCTGGCCTGAGACTTGAGAGTAGACGTGTAGCTCAACGAGTAGATAGTAGCGTTGTAACTTGTATGGTTGGTTGTGTCAGTGATTTGTTGGAGTGACCTGGCATTGGAGCGGAAACACCAGTGGCATGCAGTGCTGCTGCTGCTGCTCTATCATTCAGCACTCGAGAGTATTTTAGCTGCGTGCACAATCAAAGTTTGACAAACTCCCGGCTTGCCCTGCTCGAGGCGAGCGAGCTCCCCAGATCTGTGCCAGAGAGGCGATCCGCTAGGCAGCAGCAGCAGCAGCAGAGGTCAACACCAGTGTGCGCTGGGTTAGTTGTTACCTTTCCAGCACAACTCTTAGTAGACCCCAGGATTCGACGATTGTTTGCCACTGGCGATTATAATATCGTGCGCTTGAATAGAAGAGTGCTGGTGAGATTCCCAATAGAGATGTCGACAGCAGAGGGCCAGCAGTCCAAAGATGGCACTGCAACGAAAGGCGCAGCCACTGGCCAAGGCTTGCCGCTCGGCCAGGAGGGCTATTTGGACAAGGAGTCGAAGAACAGCAAGTGGAATCGGCGCTACTTCGTCCTGGAACATGCCTGCCTACGTTACTATAAGGACAAACCAGCGGTAAGTCTAGTCTAGGAGTGTCAGTGAAGAAGACGTAGTACTAGTGTGTAGACCTACTAATAGATCTACCACGCATCTTGCGTGTGCCCAGACCTCTACTAGAGTTGGAAGCTGACGAGCTTGGTTTCTGGCCCCATCGTGGTAGAGAGACTGAAAACGTGTTTTCCTTTGATGAGTTCACTCACACGGGATGTGCCTAATTTCACACATCGTTACTTCAGTCGGACAGTCCTTCCCCTCCGATCCGCTCTTCGGGCCTGGGCTCAGGGCTGCTTGCGGTCATGTGCCAACCGCTGCTTTGTTTGACTGCGAGAACCGATTTGTCGTTCGTCGTGTGGCTTGTGGGCTGATGATATGAGTAGAGAATGGCAATGGACACGGCTAGTAGCAGTGTTCCAGATAACATGGCAGCGTTATCGGCCGCAAGGTAGATCTACGCGAAGTAGGCACACTCACGCACAGAAAAAGCTGAAGGGAAAGGGCAGCAGTCTTGTGTACTGTTGTAGTGTGTGGACCAAGTCCAAGACGTGTGGATCATGGAGTGAGACTGAGACTGTGGTGGGATTGTGGAATGCGGTCCATGCCAGATGACCCGCTCACATAATGAAGAAACACACCGAGTAGTGATGGGGCTCTGTGGGGTTGCCATTGATTTCCTCTGACGAAATTATAACATTCAATGTTCTTGGCAATTGATGATCAAAAGTCTGAACGTCTGAAGTGCTAGAGCTGATTGCCAGTTACTTAGGTGTAGAAGGTCGGTACCGTTACGTCAGTGTCGTGCAATGTTATCACATGTCAAGTAACTGGTGGTGTTAGTGGATATCATAGTTATTATAGTGGAATTTATAGCGTATTACTATGAATTACTTGTTATAGTGGAATTTATAGCGTATTACTATGAATTACTTGTGCCAAGTTGTGGGTCCTTTTCTTCCCAGTATAAAAGTCTGAATGTGCACCGTTTTCACCATTCCCTGGGTGTACGATTTCAAGACCTGCCCTGATACAGTGACACTGATAGTATAATTAGTATTCGTACTAATCAGTTCATGTGCACATGTCCTGAGTGCGGCAGAAGCAGAGACTGAGGAGAGGAGTGAAATGTCATTGTAGTTCAGTTACTTTTATGTGAACACTGAAGTACTAGTAGTCCTGGCCAGGGAGTGGCAGAGGGTGGTCCAGGATAGAAGACAGGAGTTTTGTACAGCTCTAGCCACAGCCTCGGCATGTGTAATGGAATCAGCAGTCAGCACCCCAGTGACATGACTGTGTTTGTTAGAACTGAGATATGGAATCAGGACTGTGTGTCCAGCAGCCACGCACACACATGACATGACCAGTGTTGAGTGCCCTCATGCATGAACATGCGTGTGGGTGTGCGCGCGCACACAAACACACATACCGGTATATTGTATGTGTTTGTGCACGTGCGCACATGTACCGGTGCTTGTGCCTGTGCACATGCATATATTTGTATACATACATTGGCTCTATAAGTCATGACTATGTGTTGAGTTCCTTATGGTATTACCGGTAGTGAGAGTACACAAACATGGGAGTATGCAGCACTTCAGCTGGTCAGGCTGACCCCTAGCCCAATTATCTGTTGATTCCAAGTTCTCCAGTAGTCTTGAATCATCACCAACCAAAGTTCATACGAAAGGTGCGTAGCGTGGCTGCAAGCGAGAGACTTCAGCGGGATTTGTACCTGGGGGGGGGGGGGGGGGGCTAGGCTAGCTCTTTGCTTCGGGACTAGGGGTTTGCATCCAATTTTGTAAAACACAGCTGGGGTCACTCAAGGGGTTGGATGTAAGAAGTAAGTTTTCGAAGTTGTGAATCCCACTAGTGACTGGTGGCATCTGGAGATGGTTGACGTCCAAAAAATATGCCATGACCCAAATCAAGCAGACTTGCCCACTCTGTTGTGTGTAGTCTTGGTAATCTGAGCTGGAGTAGCAGGGAGTCGTGTCAGCCATGCAGGGAGATAACATGGACAGGTGATACATGAACTAATGTTAGCACTCCCGTGCTGTCTGTTCCAGTCTCCGTTGGACCAGTGTGTGTGTATGTGTGCACGCTGTGCGGTATGCGTTTCACCACTGGTCTGGGCCGGATTTTGGATCGGTGGACGGCTATTTCAGCAGCGATTTCTTGTCGCGTAGACTGCAGACCAGGTAGAAGTTGGCAATCAGGGGTCGAAATACCCATAGTTGCTGGTACATTGGTCTTATGTTATCTCTGACGTGGATGCTACGACACCCTGCTGTATACTGTTTATGCACGCAAGTGCCACATTCACGTGCACACACACACATACACATACACACACACATACACACATGTGCACACTGTACTCAGTGTACTTAAGTTGCTCACTGCAAGAAACTTGTCACCTGCATAATGATGTCTACCCCCAGTTTCTTTGAGGGCAATGCAAATTGTTTGTTTCACTGAGGTCATCGGGTTCCAAGAATGCGCCGCCCACCAATGTCCGGCTTGGAAAAACAGAAACGGGTCCAAACATATCAAAGCTGACTACTCAATGGCCGTGGGCCCCTCGAACTTTAATAGGAGTGAGCCAGCCTGGAGTTGCCTATGATACGGTCTTGGAAGTCGGAGCCTAGTGTATGCATATCATGTACATGTACAGTTAGACCTCACATATCCTGACCTCTTTCATTAGGGGTCCAGGACAACTGGCGATAATACTAGTGTGTCTGGACGATCCACTTCATGCACATGTATATGTATACGAGGGACTCGTGCTATAATCAACCATTCTAGTACTGTTGCACTGAGAGTATTGTTTCAGCCTTTGTGGAGTTCTTTGGCGCAGCCAGCACAGAGAAGTGAGCCTGGTGCTCAGAATAGTATAGGAAATGAAGTGCAGAAAATCAGATCACGGCATGAAGTTGAAAGACATGTAGCCGAGGGATTCGCAGGTAAAATAAGAGATTGTTATATAGGTTGATGCTGAGGCAATGGAGAGCAGATGTTCATGGCTGATGGGCTGGTGTCGTTTGCCCTATCATTCAGGATCGGTTTGGCAGGTGCAATTGTGTTCGAAATGCTTCCTTAGTTTAAGGTATTGCAGCCTGTACAAGCATCCCGATTTGCTTTGGAGAAACCTTCAAATTGATAAACAATGCGGGCAGCAAACAATGAGCAGGGTGTTGAGTGTGCAGTGGAGCCTGCCAGTCACCAACCAGGGCTGCAGTGCACACCAGAGCTGCAGGAAAAGCCATAGTAATGTATTCAGGGAAGTAGAAGTAGATGCGCTGCTGGTAAACACACGTATGCCTCTGGGCGGCATATACCCATTGTGCTTTTCAAAGTTGTGCCATGTAAACACCTACAGGTAGAATCTGATTAGTGTTTTGTAGTGGTTTTACCAGCATGCTCCTGTCAGCCTTAATTTCTTGTGGCCCTCTAGGGTGTGGTGGCCGGGTGTATTTTAGGAGTATTTTTATTTTAGGAGCGGTGCAACAGCCATGGCTATGACCTCAATATCTGCTTCAGTGGAATGACCAGAATGTGCGCTTGCATGCGGAGTTGTATTACTACACCAAGCAGGAAAATAGAGAATGGACAGTTCGGGTGAAGTTTCCTGTGCCTGTGGCCGCCGCCGCAGTATAACAGTTTTAAAATAGCGCCGCTGCAGACGGATGGTGTGTGCACTAAGGGATGGTGTGTGCACTAAGGCATTCGTCAGTGCGCTGCGTGTCATTGCATCTTGCTTGATTTTTGAAGGTCTATCCGATTCTGTTACCTGCTATTTACCGTGATATAGGTTGAAATACCCCTTCCCATCGTTGTTTTGGGGTGGATTTTACAAAAACAATCCAGTACATGCAGGGCACTAGGGAAATCAGGGGATCCCCACCCTTGGCCCGGGGGGGGGGGGGGGGGCATTGGTGTACGTGTAATGTATATCCCGGGACGGTACATGTAAGTGACGTGAACAACGTGGTTCTTAGAGGTGTCAGTGTGTCCTTGGCCAGACCGCAGTGCAGTTCCACCGTGTTCCTGTAGCATTCCGATGAGCGGAGGAACATTGTGTGTTACATGCGCGTGCACGCTCTATTACATCGGACACACGGCTACATATACTTGTAGAAACTAGGACGAACATCAGCTGATTGTGTGGGGTGTGTGCAGTGTGATACGCAGAAACAGACAGCTCCACTTCCGCAGCAGCTACCAGTCCTAGGTGCACTTCATCTGTGCATTGGCACAAGCCATGTATGGCAACTACTGCTAGTTGCTACAGTGCAGCAGAATGAAACAGCTGCCTGTGAGGCATACACAACAATGCTATAAAACGCCGTGTGGCACGCCAGGAGTATTGTGTCGTAGCCTACGGTGTACGCAGTGTGTACTCATTCTGTGACAAACAACGCACCGTGTGCAGCAGTGGTCACATTGCGTCTGGCGTGCACAGATCGATCTGTGCACGCCAGACGCAATCTGACCACTGCTAGATCAACGGCTGCTGCTGCTAATGCTGGTGCTGCAGGCGTGCCCTTCCTGTGTGAACTGCGAAGCTCCACAGCCGCTGCGGTGCATGTCAGATCTGGAACAGTGGAGGAGACACGTGCATGCCGTGCACTGTCTGTGTTCCGGGCGTGCAAACAGGATGCCTTTGCATGCACTGGTGGCTTTGCACGGCTTTGCTTGGCATAGCCATTGTTGTACCACACTGTCGCTACCTGCTGCTCAGTAAGCTGCCGGCAGCACGTGGCAAGGAAATTGATTGTTGGCAGTGTGTGTGTATTTGTACCCGTCTATCCCATGTATGGATTTGTCACAATATTCTACAATGCCAATGCTCTCTCCGTACGAATGGACGTGCTAACATAGTTAAAACTCCTTTCAAGGGCATGGAGCCCTGTTCTGTACTGCTGCTTGCTGCTGCCGTGCTGGTGCTACTATACCTTGTGTTGTGAATGGTGTTGTCGTGGGAAAGGTCTTCAGTGAATGTGTGTCAGATCTCGTCATGACTGTAACTCCTACTTGATTCCCTGGCTAGGTGCTTCTATGCTAGGCTATGCTATGCTTGATTTGTTTGAATTCTTTCTGGAGCTTTGAATTTATTGATTTGTATTTGACCTGTCTTACCTGTGTCTACGTAACTTGCTGTGCAGTATCCTTGATCGTTGTGTTAGATAAGTGCCCAGATGTCATAACATCCATGCTGGATTAGTCAGTAGACTGCTCTGCTGCACTGTTTGACGACGTAGTTACGTTCCTTTATTTCGCTTCGCACTCGTAGTTTGAATTTCTTGAGTGCACGCACGGCGTATTTTTTGTGTTTAGTTTTAGTGACGTCGTGAGGTACTAATTTGGCTACTCGGACTGTACGAACTGTACTCGGGCGTGATCGAGTATCGATCTGGCTACATTTTGGCGCTAGTGCTTTTGACAGTTGTTTTCATTTTGGCGCTAGTGCTTTCGACAGTTTGTCTTACCTGGTTTCTAGGCAGTTCTTCTTCTCTCTTGCTTCAACACAGTCATGTAATTTCTTTCGTTTCCTTTTCTATCTTGCATCCTCTGTAATCGTTCGTGCCATGTAAATAAATACTGGTCGGTCTCAGTTCTTGGAACCTTAGAGTGTATGGTACACAACACCTTGCATCACTTCCCCAGGTCCTCATTGTCTCACTTGTTTGTGTGTGTGTGTGTGTTGGATCATGCCATGTGCTGGCAAGAACGGACTATACATGTACTGAAGTATAGTGTGTGTATGTCGGCGTGTGTGTTTGTGTGGGTATGTGTCTGTTTGTGTTTGTGTGTGTGTGCGCACGCGTGTGTTTTGTGAAAAAGTTGAACTTCTGCTGCTCAAGGGCTTTATCTGTCTTGCAACGCAGTCACGAACAGAGGAAGGTAGAGTGTCATGTCAATTGCACAGCTGTGCAAATCCAGACCAAGTTCTGACTTTGTTTGTCGTTTTTGTTCGTATTGTGGTGGTGTTGCTTGCAGAACCTTCCTGAGGAAGAGCGGCAAAGTCGTGGAGAAATTCGCCTAAAGAGGGTGCTAGGTGTAAGTCAAGTCCTTTGCTACTTGTGTGTGTGTGCTGCCGCGTGTGTGTGTGTTTGTGTGTGTGTGGTCGTGCGTGCGCGCGTGTGTGTGTGTGTGTATGTATGTGTGTGTGGCAGTCTTTGGACAGGGTCGCATTCGGACTTACTTCTCTATTCTGCAACAGCCGTGGCCAAAAATCCGACCCACGAGTCAAGTAGTGCTGTGTTTCCATTTCAATTACATTCCGCACAGTTGAAAAAACCTATCCGAACCTCCGACGGCTTTGGCGCTGCTTTCCGGTCGTTGGTCGGATTTCTTTGGCCACCACGACTTTAGACTGGCAATAGCACTGAGGACTGGCTGACTGATGAACTCGATTAGAATGTATACTGGCATTAGCACCGAGGACTGGTTGACTGATGAACTTGATGTTTTGTAACTTTTGTTTACTTTACTCTATGGCAATCAGGTCGATACAACGACAGTCAAGGATCATCGATCATGTTTAGGTACGTAAGGTCACTTAGCACCAAACCCACTGCTGAAATTCATCAGATCATGGTGCGATCAAGACCCATTACCATGGTGCGATCAAGACCCATTACTATGGTGCGATCAAGACCCATTTCTTGCACTCAGAAAACCTTGAAGCTCCCGCTCTGCACGACCCCCCACCCGCAACGAACAATATTCCGTATCCTTTTTTCCAGCCCTTGCCAATCTCCGTTGAAAGCCCAAGCAGGCGTTGACACATTTTATGTACAGGCTGTAAAGATTATGACTGGGTCAAGTGTGATCGGCTGTCGCTTGGGCTGGTTGTTGTGCAGAAATCCAAACCGTCGGTGGGCCAATCTATCTGGCTGCATACTCGGACGAGGAGCGGTCAAAGTGGATCGACCAGATCAGACTTGCCTGTCGGGTAAGTAAGGCCATGCGTTTGGTTCAGGCTCTGCTGGCGGACTGCACGGTATGCAATAGACATGCTGAGCAGACTACGGGTGTGGCATGTGAACTCCGCACCGATGTACAGTTAGTATCGCCTATAGCGTTGGTGTTTGATTTTGAGCATTTTATCACTATAAGCGATATATTACTATGACCGGTACTGCATGCAATGTATGCGAGTGGGGTGTCAAACGACTCAGCGCGCCGTGCACATACGCACTACATACATGTACAATGTCATGTAGCTGGCTGTAGCTCCTGACACACAAAATCAGCATTTCCTCACGATGGAGGCATATTTTGGTCACTTGTACGAGCAAAACTCACCAAACAACACTCACTGGACAAGTTCTTCACGAAGAAGTAATGCCCTGTTCTCCTCTGACATTGCTTGATTTTTCATAAATCACTATAGCCGATGCAAAAATAATGTAATAAAGGTCTTTTGCAATATGAATTTGATCACTATAGGCGATTATTACTATACGCGATAACTGTGTATACTTGGTTATGGCAAATGAAAATGAATTTGAGAAATTGATCACTATATCCGGTATATTACTATAGCCGCCAACCTTATAGGCGATACGGACTGTACATGTATGCTGTGAGTGTGCCATTGGGTGATTGCGGTTATATCATGGATGTGTGCGAAGCCGAGCTGCGGCCTTTAGCACTGCATGCACCAGTGCTCATCAGTTCGGATTCAATTTATTGACACACACACAATGGTTTCACGCATGCACATACATGTACCCACTCACTCACTCGCTCTCTCACTCTCTCACTCACTCACTGTCTCACTCACTCTCTCACTCACTCTGATTCACTTCTACTGTTTCTCTCGGTGTGTACAGCGCTTGACTATGCAATCCTCAGCCAGCACTGATCCAGTTATGCAGCATGGTGTAGAAAGTCTCAGCTTGCAAGACAGATCAAGTTGTTCGGCAACGGCCCCTAGCAAGACTGACACTACCTCAGGAACGAAAACGCATGTAGTCGCTGGGGTGGTGGTACGACTGCCCATGAAGGTGCGTGCATGTCAGCACCCGCCCTGTGTACTCCTACTGCACTGCTGTGTATGAGCTTGCTATGTATACTGGTAGGACGTGTACTGTGCATCAATGAACCACTGTACAGCTAATGCCGGAATTCCTAGGCGAGCCTGTACCAGTGCCTGTACACAAGCTCTGTGACCATGCAGCGTATGAGTATTGTTCCTCTATAATTATGATTTCGGCGACTTCCATCATTGACGCATGTACACACAGTGTCGTCTTGTACATGCGGTGCTGCCGACATTTCAACAAGGCATGCTCGATAGAAAACTAATCTACTTGGACTGTAGTCGCGGGGCTGCCACTCTGTCACAATCGGTATAGCTGGGGAGGTATAATATACCTTCCCAGCTTATAAACACTCCACCACTCCACACTGCGCTATTAGCCCCCATGCACACCACCATATTGAGGAAATTCAATCTTGGGTAGATGTTGCGTATCCGAAACGTGGCCTAGTTCGTTGCAGCTTCTATATTTCCACGTTAAAATCTAACCATTCAATGCCGATATATTATATCGGCAATGGTTGGATTCTAAATGAGTACACAGCTCTTAGTACTCGTTTCTTCTGATTTCATGTCTTTCCAACAGTCGGATGGCGATGGCTCTGCCCCTCCGGAAAGAACAAGCGACACTGATGTCTCCCATCCTGACCGTGTGATGTCTCTAGGCAGCAGTACGTTAGGTGCCAACGCTCCGCCACAGCAGGGAATGAGCAGCGCTACCAGTGGCTCGTCCCTTGGTGTCGGCCATCGGCGTGAGGGAGGGCGAGTGGTGAAGAGCGGGTATTGCGTCAAGCAGGGACACGTTGTAAGTTGCATTCCTGATCAATAGGACGAGAGCTTCTCGGCGGCCATTAGTCTTTGAAAGACCCACCCACAAACACACACACACACGTGCGTGCTTGTGGCATTGAAGCCGAGACCTTTGGTCGGTGGAGCCCCTGGTACCTCACCATCACTGCTGCCCAGTGCAGCCCCTGCTCAGTAGCTGTTTGTTTTTGTCCACATAATTATTTATTTTACGAGTTGGGTTTGTGAATAATAGTAAAAAAAAACAAACAAACAAACAAACACACACACACACACACAAATGCACCACACTTGTCATTCCCTTGACCCACATTGCGCCTCCAAAAGGTGACTTGTGGTATTTGCTTACCTCAACAGCATGCGGGGTGTATAACTGCATGCTACCTGTGGGTGTACAGTGCTCTTGTCGTCTTGAGTACTGTATACGCAGGGGCGGATCCAGGAGGGGTTCCAGGGGTTCCACGGAACCCCTAAATTTCGTAAATGTACTACTGGCAACCACATGCGTGTCCATGTACATGTATCAGCTGTTCGGTTTGGAACCCCCTGTAGATATTTGCTGGAGCGCCGCTGATAAGTACACATTTTCCGACGGTTCATGAATTCTTTCGTTAGATCACTCCACCAGTAGGTTCGTTACGTACTAAATCTCGTTTTTGGTTGAGGTCTGTCACCCTGAACGTTCAGAAGGGGTCACTTTGGTTAATTTGTGCCCCCTGACGAATATAGCGAACGTTAATTCCAAACGAAACTTTGTACTTATACAGTACGAGACATGTGGTGTGTGGTATGCCTGCTTGGTTGCTCGTTTGTTTGGTTCATTAGTATGTCATGCCATACACGCACACGTGTTGTAAGTGTAGAGCATTTGCACCACGAGTCAACACCATTCGGAGAATACCCCCCCCCCCCCCCGTATGGTTTGTAGCCACAGCAATGCATCGTATTTGCCCGGATGTATAATGTCCACTACCGAAATACCGCTCGCCGTTTGGCTGACACTACAGTACATACGTGTATGGTATATCTATGCTCTTATGACTGCACAGAGGAAGAACTGGAAAAAGCGCTTTTTCCTGCTTGACCCGTTTGGTTTCGCATACTACTCGTCGGAAACGGTAAGCAGTCAGTGTGATTCCTGTTTTTGTCTTGGAACGTTTACCCAGAGACACCTTTTAGATGTTTATGGATGGGTTGCCTGCTATCGTTTTCAGTAGGACTCAGCTAAGATTTGAGTGTGTGTATACCAGCATGAGTATGTTATCGCCTGCATACCTGCTTCACATGCACCAGGCTCTGGAAAAGGTCACAGCTGACTGATGTCAGCAGTACATGATCTGAGCCAAGAAAACACGCAAATTTAGAATTGGAGTTTTCATTGAAAATTGATACACAACTGATTTTTTTACTCTTGTAATGCCTGCGGAGGAGCCATGGTCTGGACCTAATCGAGAAAGTATAATGTGTCAAAAGCAACCGTACAGGAAAGTTGATCCAACAGGATACATGAATGTGCACATATACAATATCTACAAACATTTCCCTGTTACCTAGCTCAAACCTGGTAGCTTCCCTCATTCATGTTGAATTACTGCTGCAGACGAGTTTGGATAGTAGACCAAAGATATGTGTGGCCGAATGATTATCTCTGAAACCAGATATGCCATGAAACTTCACAGCTCGCCTAAAAATCTCCTGGCACTAGCATGACGGTCGTCAAAACCATCATGCTCTCGGACCCGGGTTAATCTGCTGTGTTAATTGGGTGAATGGAGCAACTAGTTCTACATCGTCAGATAGTATTCTTTGTCAGTAACGTGGGAAAGCTTGTTGATGTTCAGGCTGTTATTATGTATAGTGCACTACCTCAAATAGTCAATGTTCACCAGCTACCGATAGAAAAAGCCACTGTGTTCTAATTACGTTGTTGTTGTTGTGGCTTCTGGTGCTCCTTCTGTTCCCACTTGGTAGGATAAAGAACCCATCAGGAACATTGCCATCACGGAAATACTGGCAGTGAACGAATGCACCAGGTAAGTGAGCATCTTGTCGCCACCGGGGTTTGATCTCCGACTGAATATCTGCATGGCTGGGCGCTGTAAGAATTTCGGGGCTTGCACAACACGTGGTGACAAGAAGGACCCTCTCATCCAGTTTCCTTTACGATGCATTGCAACCATCCATTGCTCGTCAAAATCCCTGGTCACTATCATGCCATACCTGCAGTCCTACATCCTGCTTGATGATGCATGCTACTCACCTCTAGATATCACAAAGAGACATTTTAGATTGCTTCGAGCAGATGATATACATGTATGTTTGGTAGCAATGGGGTGTGTGCAGTTGTTCTTTAGTTTAGGCTTGCTAGTGTCCGTGACAGGTACATGTGTGTAGGTACTCTACATGACTGCACTCCTCCAAGTTGCTCTCTTGGCATGAGACTGAGTAGTGACACTTTTCGTACAGAAAGACCTCGCTCGCTTATCCGGTCCTCTTTTATCCAGTTACCTCCCCAGTCAGTAGGAAATCAGTTGAAGTAGATCCGCAGAAAACATTTGGAGCGGAGTACAGCACTTTTTGGGATTATCCGATTCCCTCGCCTACTGGTATTTACTATTATTCTACCTTTCCCTCTCCCCGTGTTATCTGTAACAGTTTCAGTAGCAGAGGCAACGTCTTCCAGCTGGTAACAAATGGTTGCATATACTATATCCAGGTAAGGACGGCTGGAGTTCTGATGTTCTGTGTTCCAGTTAGGCTGTGTGCACCTGAAGGGTTTCTGAATAAAAGGCTCACTTTCACTGAGGTGATAACAAATCAGTGAATCCTGTTCTGAAGAAACGGCCTCAGGCAGTCAGGGTTCTGTGTATTGGCCTGAAAAGGCACAGTACATGTACATGCAAGTGGGTGGGTGTGTATATCTAGGCAGCTGCTGCCTGGTGGGTGCCTGCATGTAGTGTTGGTCTGTTAACAGTCTAGATCCCACGGTGGAGTTTATTATTATTATTAATATTACGCACACACTCATGGCCAAGGCCAATCAAGGAGGAGGTGAGGGCGATTATAGCCAGCCATATACTTGCGCGCGGCTGTGCACGGGATCCCATGTAATCCCCTTTTACGGTTTTTACGTGTAGGCGTTCGTTTTGGCAAGTTTAGTGTTCTCTTCTGCCGCTTCTCACCCAGGCACCGACTGAGAGGGACATGCGGGAGTGGATAGCCGCAGTTCAGGGCGAACTGCACGGAGTGACGAAAAGTCCCGAGAAAGGCAACCGCAGGTCATTGGTAAGCACACTGTAAAGGCACGCTGGCAGTGTATACATCGTCATAATGCATGGCAGGGGGGGGGGATAATGCATGGCAGGGGGGGGGGGGATAATGCATGGCAGGGGGGGGGGGGGGGATAATGCATGGCAGGGGGGGGGGGGGGGATAATGCATGGAAGGGGGGGGGGGGATAATGCATGCCATCATGTGGTACGTTGCAGCATTGCTAGAGTGTTTGTATGAATTACTGACAATCCTCTTGGCTCCATACCCTATGAATAAATGCTGAGCCTGGAAAATATAATTTCACCGTTCTCATGAGGGGCAGTTAGGCAGCCTTTTTTGTTTACATCTGTAGGGAATGCCATCATCTTCAAGGATCAGATGCAGCTCCTAAAGGTGTCTTGCATGAAGAACGTGACTGTGTTGGAATGGTGGAGAACAAGTTGTCGTGGCGTACCTGGTAACTGCGCGTCACCTTTGTAGATTAGACTTTGGTCACTGTGTGTGCGTCGTGATTGGTATAATGCTATAGTCTGGTCACTGTGGTGGCTCTCCCGTTTTGTTTTCTGCGTTTGTTTTCTGTGTTTGCAGAGAATGTGAGCCGTCTGTGCCAAGAAGGCGTGCAGATGCTAGGCCTTGCACAATGCGTGGGTTCAGAGGCGGCGCATGGCAGCCACGCCAGTGTGTTGCCATCACTCCTGCTCCACAGCATGCACATGGCCGGGTGTAACGTCACCGCATATGTTCTACGAGCCACGCAACTACAATGCATGGAGTCTTGAGTAGTGGAGTACACATGCGGCGGCTTTCGACGTGGCCCGGAACTTGTCCAATCATGCCTGGCATCTACGACGCGCACAGACTACCTCGATGCACTGCAACACTTGCGTGGATAGCATGCAAGTGGTTATAAGCACACATAATGACAATTGTCCGAACTTGAACCCAGCTATTTCATTAGTATTTACATCGTCTTAAGTGTTCCACCTGTCCACTCTGCGACTGATGTGTGTTTGCATTCGTTGCTGAGTGAGCTAGCCAACCGGAACCGTTTCCAATTTTGACCCTGCCAGTAGGCAATGGGATATCTGTAACTGGTGGCAAGTATGCGTGCGTGTTTCTGCCATTAGACACCCTTAGCAAACAACGGTAACGCTATTTTTTACGGTACTCGTACCTTGATCACCCAAATAGCGTTGAAGCTGCAGCGTATAAACGTTATGGGGGCTGATTTATCGTTGTGACCAACGGTACGTGTTTTGGCCAAATATTGCATAGTCCGTACGCATTTCACCTTGTATCGCGTATATGGTGACAAAAATGGTTGTACCGCGCGAAATCAAAGCTACTCTCGTGGCAACAGCGTACTAAAAATAGCGTGCATCTTGCTAAAGGTCGAACCCAAATCACGGTATTTTCCCCCTTACGATAATACCGTTACAACATAACGTTTTTTGCTAAGGGTGTCTAATATCTGCTCCTATCCCCTTTAGGGCAGTTTGGCACTAGCGTGCCACTGCTAGTTTGAAGGACTTTGCTCGCCACCGATTTCCTTTGGGCACGGCCCATTTTCGAATTTCTACTCATTCCCTGTATTATAGCATACATACTATTACAATTTGTGTATCCAATCTCTATTATTACTCAACTAGGCTCCACACACAGATATTTGTAGAGTGTGCCCCTGTTCAATTCTGCCGCAGTGTCCCCCTGCGCACTTACCCAAAGAATTTCCACGAGTGAAAGATGTCCCATTTGCAAGAAAGCTGCTGCTATTCTCTGATTATTTCCTTTGCTACCGCCCACTGTTTCCAGGACATACAGGGCGGAATGCCCAGACAAGTCTTTGATAGAACTTTGACAGTGGCTGGCTGTCCTTGGGCCTGTACTCTGCAGGTAACCCAATGGCCCGTTTGCATGTGTGTGTGTGTGTGTGTGTGTGTGTGTGTGTGTGTGTGTGTGTGTGCGTGTGTGCACGCATGAGTGTGTGGTTGGGTGCTGACAGTTTATCCATTCCTGGGACATGCAATCACGCACGAGTGTGTGATTGGGTGCTGACAGTTTATCCATTCCTGGGACATGCAATCAATTCAGATTGAAACCAGTTCTGGTTTGTACTGGGAAGTGTAAAAATAATTACTCTGATCGCACCTCACTGGATTGCGGTCTATTACCTAATTTAACAGAGATGCTCTAGTAATAGGGCGAAGAGAGCTATGTAATTAACGCAATGAATAGGGCAAGTTGCGCACTCCAAACCATGAGCAAAACTACTTGTCATTTACATGTACGTTCCTTGAACGTTTTCGAGGCCATCTATTTCTATTGAGTTATTGGGTTGAGGGGGTTAATTTGCCAGTAATCCTGACAGAGAGAGACAGAGAGAGAGAGAGAGAGACAGAGAGAGAGAGAGAGAGAGACAGAGACAGAGAGAGAGAGAGAGCTTTTACGCAGAGGACTATGTGACCTGGTGTAATGGCACACCACACAACAAACTCCTGACCGACCCAAGCCAAGGGTTCCAAACAAATTATCTTCTTTCCTGCCTTGCTCAGCATGTGTTCGCAAGTTGAAACTTCAAAATCCTATATGAAGAATGTGCGAAGTCCTCTGGGAAATATTTGGATGGCATAGTTTCAACAGTGACTCCTTTCTCGGCCAACATCTTCCAGAAGTTATCCTCACCAAGGCCACGCTCTTTGTAACAAATGAAAATGTCTGTGCCGGGTTTTGAAAGTCTCTCTATGGTGGCAAGAAGATGGACTGACATCTCAGGAAGATAAACTACTTCGGAGCCGAGGATGACATCATACTTCTTCTCCTCACAGGAAGTGACGCACTTGGTCTGCACCTTGCACCAGTCCAACGGCTCGACGGTGATGTTGGACGGCGAGAGTGTGTCATCGGCCGCACTCACACGGCCCACGTTGGCCGTCACGTTCTGGCGTGCTCTCTCCAGCGCCGCTTCTTGGTCGGTAAGCGCGACTCGTGCGCCGTGCAGCCACGCCACAATGCCCACTAACCCAGTACCACAACCGAGCTCAACACACCGCTTCCCATGCCAGAATCCCGGCCGGAAGTATGCACTCTCCAGGAAGCTGGCGAGCAGAAACGATCCGTCCCACAGCTTCTCCGATGTGTTGTGATGTGCATCTACTTTCACGCCCAGGTTCTGGGCAATGTCCACTCGGTGTCCTTTGAAGGTGAACTGGCGCGTTGGCTGCTCGGAACGAGCTGCGTACGGGTTTGAGTACTTCCACAGGACAACGGCCATTGTGGTGTTGGGCAGTCCTGCAGGTCTTTATGCTAACAGCAGCTTACACGTGCTGCCTTGTACACAGCACTGGGTCACTGCCAGCGATGAGATGCTACCCAACCCACGTCTAGCAAGTACTTAGTTTCTCAGCAGGTGCTGCTACTTCTATACTACTGTGCACGTCTGCAGAACAACAGCCAGTTGCTTACCAGCTATGCAGTACAATCAGTCATGCAGATACTTGTAGATGTCCAGTCCAGAGGGCAGTTCCAGGTCCTTCACGAGTTGCATATGTCACGTATCACCATTACACGCATCAGCAATTACCTTGACTGTCAGTCTGTTATCCATGGCTTATCCCAGTACATGTACTACTAACTAGAGTCAGTTCACTTGTAAACTTCTACGCGTATACGGTAGAACATCTATATCTACTGTATTTTGAAAAATATTTTCACACATGTACATTGCATGAAGAAATCATGGAAGAAAATAGACATCACACACAAGCAGAAAACAAATTCAAGACTCTGACTGAGAGGAGAACAGTGAAAGCTCAGAAGACTTGATTACTGGAGTGAAAAGAATGTGTCTAGAACTACAGTCGACTAGTCGTTGCAAATAGTTCTCGATCGACCTCCTCATTTGTACATTCAGGTACATGTATTTGAATTTGAAAAAAAATCTTTTCCTCCTATAAATTATTATAACACGGCCCGGCCGGGCATAATCCGCGCATGCGTAGTTGCGTACGCGTGGCATGCACGTCATGACGTCAGTCAGCAGTAACCCTGGCTACGCCCAAGCTACGGATAGCATCTTTTCTTGACTTTTGTCCGAATCGTGAAGGAAAATCTTCTCACTGTGAACATTTCGGCTGTCTGTGTGCTTTCTCCTTTACTTGTCTGGACCACTTTTGAGGAAGGAAATCGTGCACCTATTAACAGACGAGTGAAGTAGTAATTCACAAGACTAGAGCAACTTAGGTTCATCAGGATAGTCATGTCGGCTGGTCCGAATAATTTGCTAGCTGCGTCTCTCGTTGGTAAGAATTAAATATTTTTTATCATTACAATAGACATTACAATGTCATGACGTTGTGCCTTTTTCAGATTGTGGTGAGCATGCCGTCCGGATTTCATACTACGAATATTTGTTCTGATTGTGTTCAGAGAAGGACAAGAATGGTGATACTCTTTGGACGTGGACTTACCCGAGCGTTGACGAGGGGCTGCGAGAGCTGTTACTGCGAAAAACCTGTCTGGCTGAGAAGGACAGCAATGAAATAGTCCCTTTCTCGTTTGGGCACTTTGGCCGAATGTGGTATTACGTTCTGACGGTAGCGGCTGGTGATAGTGAACCATTAGCACAGGTATATTCTATTTTATTAGCAAACATGTCACACAGTAGTCTACACGACTGTATGACTGTATGACTTTATTGTTAGTCGGTGTTCGTAGTCAATATTTTTTGTGACAATTTGCGAGCATTAATCAGATTTCAGAATTCCTTTTGGGTAATGCACTTGTCACCTACTATGCAATCTGGGGGGGGGGGGGGGCTAGTAAGTAGCGGGATGAATGGCTCAGCAGCAGCAGGAATACCCTGTGTAAGCAATGCAGAACAGGGCGCATGGCGGTTTTCTGTGTTGACACCTTGTTCACTCTCTCACCTTGTGTCTATGGTCTTGCACAGGTGACCCATTTTACGGTGATTGTCCATGCTAAGGTAAGCTGCTGCATGATGCTAGGTCTGTCCTTTGAACAAACTTCATGTCCAACGATCAGTGCTCGGCATTTCAGCAAACTTAGTTTGTTTCGGCATGAGAACTTGTGTGATCAGTGCGTGTGTGTGTGTTTGAGGTGGATGCAGTGGAGGCTGCCGAGGTGGCGTTCAGCTCTACTCGCTTCAATGTGACCGCCCGTGTTAAAAGATCGGTCGTAGCAGGCATCCAACCGCACTTCAATGTACTTTGGATGTGTGTGGAAAGACCTGGGGCCAGTCACTTGACAAGGCATCGTCGCAGATCTCACTACTGTACCAAACCCCTGACACGTGGCTACGCATCGTATAGTATGTCCTCGTTTCCTAGCTCCTGTACGTTCTGTAGCTTCAGAAAGGAATAGCAACTTTGTGGGCAATTTTCTACATTTACAGTGACTGCTGTGTCTCTTGGTTTACCATTGTTCTTTTTTTAGGACTTCAATCCAGAAAAGTATCAACATTTGGCTTCTATCTTGGCGGAGACGTATCGCACAACCGGTAACGCCGCTCGGCTGCTAGAGAACTACCTTAGCGTGGTCACGCGTGGTGTGTGTTCTGGCGTTGGCGATATCGAGGACTTTGCCGTCAAATCGTATGACGTGCGGAAGGCATACATTGCGTCATCCATCAAAGGTAGCCTTCCGTTTCTTTGCGCCAGGACAATGAATTTGCTTCTATGTTTGAATTGGGATTTAGTTAGAGGGAACCATGTTTTCGCATGTACATGTACTTCTTTTGGAAGTAGTGACGAAGCCAGTCGTATATTTGATGAGGCCTTTTGTACCATTACTTCTCAAACCAGTACATAGTACTGTGGCTCTCTGTCTGTGAGATATATTTTCGGTAACTTCGGTACAGGTAATTTTTATCTAACATAAAACGCGACCTAGAATTCAACCATGCCATGCCACACAGTGTGCAAAATGCATTTTTGGATCTGGAAAACTGGTTTACCGAAATTTTCGCGCTAACGAACCGTTGGTTTTGGGAAATACCGAAAATATTACACCACCGAAAATTCCCGGTTTTACAGTATTAATGATATGACGAAGCAATGTTAACAATGCCAATTTATACAGCGTATTGGCAGTGAAGTGGCGAGGAAACATGCACTAGGTCGCGCTTCTATGTTTAGTAGAGTAATATTCTACATTTGTGTGTATGCACGTGTGTGTGTGTGTGTGTGTGTGTGTGTGTGTGTGTGCGTGTGTGTGTGTGTGAGATTAGACAGTTATCTGGCGCAAGTCTTGATCTGTCTCATTCAGATCTTGTTCGCTATCGTTGCTATAAGAGAAAATCTGTGGGTGCACATCCAGTGCATTTGCAGATTTGCGTGCTTCTCTTGTGACGGGCGTATACATGGTACATGGTACATGGTGTGTGTGTGTGAGAGAGAGTTGGAGAGAGTAGAGTATAGGCTTCTTCCAGTCTTGGCTGCACGAGCATATGAAGACATATAGTATCAAATCTCAACTCTTATGCAGTGCTGCTGCCATTTTTCACACTGTGCGCGTCTCATAGATGTCATACAGCAGCTGGGCATTGAGGCAATCTTGGTGTATACTGCCCTGCTGCTGAAGAAGCGCGTGGCTGTCTACCACCCAGACATACAACAACTGCTGAATATTGTCAGGTTAGTTCTGGCTGTAAGAATAGCGGCCATGCCAACATTTGAGGCGACTGTGCGGTCAGCCTCACTGTGTTAAACACACACACACACGCACACACACACACACACACACACACACACACACACACACACACACACACACACACACACACACACACACACACACACACACCTTGACCATTGCGTAGCGACGATAGCGCAGTGTTATTTCTCCAGTCCACGACAGAATGACTGATGGCGTTTCAGGTCGCCGCTTCGATGGAACATGCGGCCGCAACTGTAGCTAGCACCAGAGGGGCTATGGTACGCCACTCCGGACGGTTCTGGGCTGCATCGTACCATCCACATGTTTGTACCGGTGGTTCAACCGACGCGAAGTCATCCACAACGACGTCTCTCCACCTCTTGTGTGGGCCATACGCCGGGCGCGGCGCATGTAGTTCACCGAAGAGAACACACTTTACACGCTTTACACACACACACACACACACCACACCACACATATATACATGCATACACACACACACACACACACACACACACACACACACACCTTGAACCTTGAACATGCCCATTGCCAACGGCAATAATAGCGAAGGGACTATCTGCTTGCTTTGCAGTTCAGAGTGTGGCGCTTGAGATCCTCGGGACCACAGCAGAACGTAGTCGATCTACGGAAAGTCTTACATAAACTGCATGCGCATCTGGGTTCCGCCATACAGAGTTTTCAAATCACGTAGCTGCCCTTGGCAACTCCGAACGCGGCAGTGTACGACCAGATCGACCTGGGGAGAGAGTCATAAATTTGTACCCCAATCCACTTACGGACCAGCTACATTATCAGAGCCCTATCTACGTACTCTCCGTAGACAACTTTCCGTAAGTGGAGTGCAAACTCGCGAATTCACGGGTTTTTCCCGCCCACTAACGTAAAGTTGCTCAACTTTACGTAGTGCGGAACCTCTCTAGTATTACCGTATGTCAGCGCCTTTAAAGCCATGGCCTTATATTCAAAACACCGCTGCTTTCCTAGCTATTTTAGATGCAAAATGACTCGCTCACTACACCATACCATAAAAGTCAACGTCCACACAGAAATTTCACTCTAAATCCACTTGTTCACCATTCCTGCTGGGCTGTAAGTTTGTTAGTATAATACTTATTCCTTCATTTTTTTTAACATACTTCGAATGTCATTTCATTTTATGAAGCCCATGGCTTTATAACTGAGACTGGCTTCATATTCGAATACCTCCATGGCTTTAGAGGCGCGGACATACAGTATATAAATGAGAGTTTTTTTCTGATCTTTGTTGTACACACAGTTCATATGCAGAGATTTAGTCATACATTTATAGATAGTACAGTAGTCTAAACTCTAAAGCGCAAGTGTGTTTTATCAGTGTTCTTTGCCAGGTTCCTCTGTACATGTAAACCTTGAAGTATTACTTACACACATTCATTCGTGAAAGATGTTGCCTCTTGACCGAGCACGGGTGATAAGCAATTTTATCGTTTTGGCAATGTGTTGTAGAAGGGTGACCATTGTCCTATTTCTTTGTTCTATCTGCAGAGCACTACCCACTCTGGTGTGGCATCGCCAGAACTGGTCGATTGTCTATCCCCATGTACATCTGGTTGAAGATGAGCTGGAGGATCTCGCCTCGACGTCATCCTACGTCGCCGGCTTCACCGACAGCAGTGTGGAGAGCCATGCCAATCTGTACGACGTGTTCGTCAACGGTAGGTTTGCTATTTGCATGAACTCAGGTGCATGGTCAGCCATGCCAATCTGTACGACATGTTTGTCAATGGTAGGTCTGCGGCAGTATGAACTCAGGTGCATGTGAGCCAAGGAAATATTTAGATGAAAACGAGATCAAGATCTGGTTTAGTTGTAGTTAGTAGATTCTAATGCATAACTTGCACCCCACTGCTTTCCTCCTTATCAGCAATAGGGAGTCATTTTGCATCTAAGGGACCATCGCAAAAGTTCGCAGAAGCCCCTGAAACGAAGAGCATACGTTTGGGGGGGAGGGAGTCGTGTCGAAAATCGCAAACCGGGCTTCAATTCAAAAAAGTATTGACGACATGTAGGAGCTGATATAGATTAGCATGCCATCACAGCCGGCGTAGATCGCTTGTCAGGACGCGTAGTCATGCGCGTGTCGCGTAGCTGGCTGCCTGTACACTGTGTGTAGTCTAGTACCAAGAGTCCATAATTTGGCATAAAACGCGTGGTTTATGGACTCTTGCTAGTACTAGTACTAGTACTACTAGCACTAGTAGCAGGGGTTCATAGGCCGATGATATGATAGGGTTTATGAACCCCTGCTGTGTAGTATAATTATTATAATAATTATTATGTGTGCAGCATCCAAGTGAAATAATGAAGCCCATATTGTGAATGTCGTTTCGTTTGAGGGGGGAGGGAGGGGGGTCAGGCCCGAAACTCACGGTCTTCGTTTCGGGGGCTTCTGCGAACTTTTGCGATGGTCCCTAAGTCGATCAATGCCTGTAATGTTTTTTTTCTTGAATATGCTACTAGTATCCGTATTTATTATTTATTATTTAGTATTTACTGCTTGAGAGTGCTCACAGCGGTTGTAGCACTGTTTGACTAAGGTTGTGCTGTCTGGAAACTTGAAGACTCTTTCTCCTCTCTCTCTCTCTCTTCTTCTTCTTTGTGTAGTGGCCGGTGGTGCAATCACAGTAGCTCCACATGCCAAAGGTAAGATCATCATTGTAGTGATGCTCTATGCACTCTCCTTATTTTAGCGTACACAATTACCCGTTTTGGGTTACCACTACGCCCACACAGATCCTGCCGGCAATTCTTTCGGCAAAATATCGAAGAATTGAAAGAGCAGAATTGCCGGCAAAATCGGAGCAAAATATCAAGATGTTGGGTAAAATCGATGCCTGATACTTGGATGTCCTTGTTTCTTACCCGTTCAGCATGATACACTGCCCAGGACTAGATCGTGTCACCGAAATATCACTGTGATTCACTGTGGATCGACATGTTTTTGGAAGAACTCAGGGGCACGTGCGTGGAAACCCGTGTTGAGAGACCGACCCTGCGATTTTTATGAAACGTTGTACGGGAAGTGGATAAGATACACGTTTTTTGGCGCAAAATGGAGCAAAATATCGAGTTTCTAGTGCTAGGCTCGTCGGCGAAATATCGAAGATTTCGCAGCAACATTTTGTGGCAACATATCGAGGCGACCGGAGCAGAATCTGTCTGGGCCTGTAGTTGTTGCCTAGATGGGGCATGTGAGTGAGAGCATTCACTTAATATTATACGGATGGAAGACATACAGAGTTCAGACACACTCTGAAGTAGGATAAGGTGTGTACAATTTGTACTGGAGTGTTCTTTGTCTTGCTATCTGCCTACTCTTGAAACGTTTGTAGCATCTGGCTGATTCCCGCTTTCTCTTTTTTTTGTTTTTTATACGTGAGGAACCTTCGGAAAACTCCCCTTTGCCAGGGCCTGTACAGTGTACACCTCTGCTCATACAGTAGAGTCGCGCGCCGAAGAACGTTGAGCCGGAGAACGTCCAGGCTGAAAGAACGCCACAGCCTAAAGTTAAAACCGGCGGTGTTGGTTTTCCAGCAGCTTTTGGGATACATATGATGCTGTGCGAATTGTTTCTAAGAACGTGCTATAAGAACGCAGCCAGGTTGCTGAAAAATAAAAATGCCCCAGATTAATCCTTTGGAAACAACGTTCTTGGATGCGCGACTCCACTGTATCATTTGAATGGTTTATTTGTAATGGGAGCCTTTGATACAGCGAAGTTTGCACTCAGCTCCTTTCTGTTGGTGATTGCTTTCCTGGTGCGGTACTGCAGAGGCGTTTGGGATGGGTAAGATCCACAAGGACATTGCAACAAGAATGGTCCAGTGCTCCGAGGATGAAGACATGACCGATCAAGCCATGATCAAGGTGAATGAGCAATCCATAATACCGTATATTCTCTATTATAAGCACAGGTCTCCATTACTAGCACAGTCTCTAATACTAGCACACTCTGAGCACCTTTTGAAACATTATAAGCACAGTCTCTATTATTAGCACGGTCTTGGTGGAAATCAATGCTGCATGCATGATATCTATAGTCAGTTTCAAAAAGATTAGCAATCCTGGTGATCGCCCGGGGAGTTTGCCGTCTTACCGTATGAGCGCTCGAGCGCTGCCTGGAAAAACTCACTGTGAACTCGAAGAAATATTCCGCGCGAAAGCATGAAAAATGACAACTCACTGACGATCTTCCTCGCATCGATGTGGAGTCAGAGAGGACATGTCGAAAGTGTGGTAAATTTTGACGAGCGGGATGCGTCCGTTTTGTGACCAAATAGATTCTTTGAGCTGCCGCGGATGCAATTTACTCTCACGATGTGACGAAAACGGCATCGACAGACTCATTCCCAAGGCCTTGAAGTGGCAAAGTTATCCGTGTGACTTCGACGACATTTTGAGAAAGCAGACGCCTGTGAAAGCTGATAGAAGACGGCGTTGACTCCTAAATTCAAATAAATTGGCGATCTTCAAATACTAAAATAATTCTCAAACAGAAATCGATCGATCGCGATGTGCCGGTTTATTCAACAACACGTAGCTACAGCGCAATGACTTCCGTGTTCACTCACACGGTTTCAGTGTTGTGTGTGTTCACAACTTCACATGGCGTGAGCCAGTCATTCAAGTGTCAGTCAGTTCGGCAGGAAACGCGAGCTCCAACAACAAGTCGCTTGGCGCAGCCACCTTCTTTGTCTTGTACCAAAACAATGAAAAAAATTGAAGAAAAAATGTTTGACTTGAAGATTTGTTGGGATTTGAACTCACAACTTCATGGTCAGCAGACAGCATTCATAACCACTAGGCCAAAAAGGAAGGGATAAATCGTGGGTTTTGATAACAAATCGATACTGGCTTCCAGGGCAATTTATAAACCATGGGAAAAGGCCAGAAACCTGGCCGAAATACTAACTCCTTAACGGTTGGTCCAATTGTTCCGAAACCTTCACAGAACAATTTGCCGTGCCCTAACAAGCCGTTTTATGTACTTTGTTGTCCAGATTTCCCTTATCTTCATACTATTTAAGACCTAAACTTGATTGCTAATCTTTTTGAAACAGACTGTAGCATGTATTTCTTCTTGTTCTGTATGGATGTATTGGTTGAAAAAATATAAGCGCGGTCTCCAATATAAGCACGGGGTAGAGGGGTGTTGAAAGAATACAAGCACAGCGCTTATAATAGAGAATATACGGTATCTGCCCTTTAGTGTGATCTGCTGTTGCCTTGCATAGTGTAGGCTACCCACTACGCCAGTGTGCGATATTTCCATTAGTCGGTGTAAATCAAGTACAGGAAATCTAAAAAAGTGCGCTCCTTTCTTATAGTGGTACATGTGCGTGTGTGTGTAGCTCTCATGCCTATGGTGGTGTCATGTGAGAGGTGTTTTGGGCACAGTGCAATGTGTGTACTGCGCAAGGAATCAGATCGATTCACAATCGTGTGCTACATGTAACCAACCCAACTTTCTCAACTTTAGGGTCCTTGAACTGAAACTACCTATCTCTAATGCAATGGCTGTACACAATATACAGGGTTGGTTTTCTCCACAGCGTGTCATTTCAACATTAGACCCGTATTCCCTAACTCACACCATGCTGCTGCTCTACGTACCATGTTTGATCCGTACAGGAGATTGCCCTGAAGACCAAGGACCTGATCAATAACTTGAAAAGCCTGGCGGTGGAAGATGAGGAGACGGGAGAGCCGGTCGTCACACCCGATGCCCTGCGAGGCCGCAAGCTCACACCAGCAATGGAGAACTTCCTGTATCACCTGGCTTCTGCGGAGGGCCTGGTCAAATTCTGACTGCCCGCAAGAGGTGCACATCCACAGAGCTAAATCAGCTAATATCAAGGGTAAAATACAGAAGAAGGAAGAGACTTGCGCAACAATTACATATCTTTCTACTTTATGCCGTGCGAGCGAAATGCTACCACTGTACATACCAACACATCAATAGTATCTCTTAGGACTGAACTTTTACATCCTCTATATTTCGAATTGCACCCTCCGGTCATCCTCTTTATTTCAAATTGATCACATGTTTACGACTTCAACATACAAGAATTGGAATATACTATAGACAATATTTTTGAACACCTATGAAATAGATTAAAAAAAACCAGGGTACAAGAAGCCCGCTGCAACCAGACATGGTAAGAGAAAAGAAAGTTACAGACTAGATTTGCATTGAAATACTTCTACTTCGAATTAATTGTTCACTAGAAGACATGATTTCCCACTCGCGTTCATCGCCACCAAATATTATACTGTACTACTCTGGAAACTATCTTGTTGGATTATAAGTCTTGTAGTCCTTTACGGTATGTCAGCATATGTCCAAACACAGACAGGGAGGTTTGAACAACTTCAAATGAAACAGTGGCTATAGTCGCCGTATGAAGACGTTAGAATTTTGCATATAAACTTCTGTCTGCACTTGGAGTCACAGGGAATTGGCTTTGGACCATGCGTATAGTGTTTGACGTACAGGCTGAATAGATCATCGTCCAAAGTCAGTCGCCTGGCAAACTCAAGCCAGTCGCGCGGGAACACCGACTTCATACCGTACGCCTCGCGGGCACTGTACTCCAGTTCCCATTTGGGCTCGTTGGATATGTTGGCCTCCGTCAGGTTACACATGTAGTTGTGATGGTCAAGCACTGTCCAGCTACTATTGGCATAGCCGCCATCAACGTCATAAATACGATACGTTGGGAAGTGGCCGGTGTACGTAGTCACACTCGGGGCAATGTACGCAATGCTATTGGGCTGGGCTATCTTGGGATCGTCCTCGGTGAAGAATACTTCCATCTCATCCTTGTGCGTGTGACCATAGAACTGTGCTTTCACTGTGTTCTGGAAACGGCGGATAATCAAGTTGTACACCTTGCTCCAGCTTCTCATGCAGCTAAAGCCACCCGGTGGAATGTGACCGATGATGTGCACTTTCTCTCCACGTTTCTCCGCTTGTTCCAGCTCGCCAACCAGCCACTCTAACTGACCGTACGGGTCTCGATCCTCCACGTATAACCAGAAATTCAGAACCCCACAGAAGTTGAAGTTCATTGAAATGATCCGCAGGTCTGCGGAGTGCAGCAGTGAGTAGAAGCCACCGTGGCGAACGGTGTCCAGTGCGCTTGCCGGGAGCCAGTCCTTCCAGGTCTCGGCAAGGGTATTGTATAACCACTGTGACGAGAACTCTCCTTTCTCCGACTCGGGGGCAAACACATTGACAGGCACACTTTCATGGTTACCCACAGCCGGATAGACTGGCCTATCCGGCAGGTACTGCTGGATTAGCTTGGTTATCGACACAATCATCGATATTTGGCCGTCTTTGGTCTGATTCCATACGTCATGGGGAGGAATGTCACCTGTCCAGATTGTGTAGTCAAACTTGTCTGCTCGATTTATGTGCTGCAGCATATTCTCAACAAGAGCTTGCGGCACGTCGCATTCCGGCTCTCCCCACTTGCCGGCGTTTCCCTTGCCGAGCCACGCACGGCAGCACTGGGGCTCACCACAATCTACAGCAGAACCTGGAGCATAGTGATGATCAATGTGTGGATCAGCTAAATGTAGGACGCGCACAACTGGCGAGCCTGTTTTGGGTAACTGAGGAGGAACGTACGCTGTTCGACCCGGAGGGATATTCACAGTCCAGTTCGATGTGAATGTGCTACCGCACGACTTGTCAAGGATTTCCGAGCAAATCGCCTTGCTGTCCAGACGAGTACGGCGCATGACAGCTCTGAGAGACGGGTAGAACTCCTCGACACCAGCACGGCATATCCGGTGCGTTGATAGCCCCGACAAGACGCATATCACCTCAACTGCATCCACAACAAATTTCTCGCTGGAATTGTGCTCGCCTCCTTCGTGAATTAATTTTAACACGCCTTCACACATATCGCATGGCAGACTGAATCCCGAGCATGTGGCAGAAATGCTCAAGGCAATGAAGGCCAACGCCCAAAACCTAATGTGTGCCATTTTAGTCGTCCAAGACGGCCAGCTAGTAATTGTCCTACTGGTGGAAAAAGTAACAAACAAACACTACTTGACCTGCACCACCGCACACGGCGACAAGCAAGCGACAAACTGTAACTGATGTACTAGTACTCCACAAGGATTATACAGCTTTCATCTTCGCTCTATGCCACAAATTCCCAAGACAATCAAATCATCTGCGACGTGAACGAAAAAGCAAAAGAACTACGATCAACTTTAGTAGTCGACTGTACTCGACTCGTACCCAAGTCTTTTTGATCATAGATATAGATAGAGTGCTTTATTGCGGAAATGGCAAGGTGATGTTGTTTCTGACTTTTCCGCAAGCCAACATAGATCTACTGATTTACCGATACGGCGATAGTCCAACGCTCTGATGACAGCTGACCAGATGACGTGACTTGTCGCACACATATGCGTAGACCTACACGTGCACGAATGTACACATACACCGGTACGCGGTGACGGTACCGTACCCCGTACCGTACATATGCCAGCCTCGCCTGGTTTTGTCGACAGCCGAGTCGCGCCTCCGTGCAGTGTGGCCGACCACCCGCACACATCAGTCATCACTGCATGCAGATACTGCTGAGTGCTGATGATACTCTTGCCGTCTTGGTGATACATGTACTACGTAGATCTACTGATAGCCAGAACCAGGCCAGTTAGTCCCCGTACACAAAACGCGTACTAGTAGACCTGGTAGACTCTACGCTTGTCTTTGTAATGTACGCTTTAGTCTAGTCTAGATACTAATACCATAATGTACAGACAGCAGTCTAGTAGTACTAGTATACTAGTGTAGTAATATAACTAGTATGCAATTATGTCCTCGTTTTTGCCAATAATATAATTATATTATTATTTTGGGCGAAACCAACCGGCACGTGTTCTTTCCTGCGCCATTTGTCATGACAACAATAATTCTAATATTATTTTTGTTGTGAACACGATCGTAGATCTACATGTACATGACTGTACGAGTACGACCAAGAGTACATAAGTTACCCCTCTTGCCAGTCTTGGTAGGTCTACGACGCGACATCCCCACCATGTACCATTGGACGCATGGCATGGTACCCAGCTCTGACCAAGCATGAAGTGAGCGATTTGGAGATTTTTTTACTAAGTCCGAATGAATGCGGAAGTGGTGGCGGGGCCCTGCTGCTCAGCCGACCTTGGTGGTCTCGGCGTCTGCACAGACAAAGCGCGTCAAGAGAGATGGAGATGGTGGCTCTGCCTGCTCGACATGGAGGCAACCCTGTTGAGGACTCTCCGCGCAAGCACGCTGCGTGTTTGGAGTGCACTACCCACCTGGCGGATCGGAGTTGCTGGAGAGCGTTCGGCTAGACCAGGCTACCAAATCGGCAATGCGGATTCGCCACCGAGCAATGCTGAAAGCAACAGCTGCTATATACATGTATACCGACATCCAAGACCGCCTGCCGCAGCCACAACAGTCAACAGCAAGCAATGTCCTTGGCACGCGAGAAGGCCGGCGGGTCCAGTGCCCTGACCACCGTCCCTATGGCTGAGCACGGTTTCACCTTTGATGTGAAGGCGGACTTTAATAATAATAATAATCTTTATTTCAGGATTACCCAAAGGCTAACGCCTATCTGGGGGATCTCCTATTTGTGTATGTACTAGCACGACCATATCCGGCTCCGGCCCTGGACAACCTGCCACTGCCAGTATCCTGTCCCTGTGGGTCAAGGTTTTCAGTCGACCATGCCCAAGTTTATTACTGAAGTATGGAACATCACAGCTATCCATCGTAGCGGCAGACATCATCAACCAAAGCGTAGCAGAGGGTGCCGACATGTCATCGTTCATCGGACTTGGCACACTGATTCCTTTACAAAAACCAAAAAAAACCTAGAGGACCCGTGACTAGCCTGCGTCCCATTGTCCTCCTGAACACCATCCGAAAAAGTTTTCTCCCTTGTAGTGCTCTGCCGAATCGCAAAGGACGTTGCTCGTTATGTTGGTCCAACTCAATCTGGCTTCAGACAAGGCCGAAGTACAACAGATGTGGTATGGACACAGCGCTGGATTGCGGCCAAGGCGACTCGATACAACTGGGAATGCCACATGCTGGGGATTGACATGTCCCGTGCGTTCGACACGATCGATCGCACCAAACTGTTAGACGTCATGGCATTAGCTACTGGCCCCGATGAAGTGCGCATGATCCAGCACCTACTGTTCCACACACAAATATCAGTGAAAGTAGGAAAGGCAACTGCCAATCCGTTTCTCAGCACCATCGGCACCCCCCAGGGAGATGGCCTGAGCTCTGTTCTTTTTATTTGTTACCTGGAGGCAGCACTGCGCCAAGTGAGAGCAAACCTTCCCGAACGCCCTTTCGCCGACCGTCACATACCCGGAGAAACAGGTTACGCCGATGATGTGACGTTGTACTCAACCAGTGAGGAGTGGCTGAAGCGAAGCCTCCCCATCATTAGCGCAGAACTCGGGTATTGGTCCCTTACAGTAAACGAGACCAAGACCGAATTCTTGCATCTGACATCAACTTCAGACTCCTGGCGGTCCGGCAGGCAGCTAGGGTCCCTCATTGGCGACAGTGAGGACCTGGAGCGGAGGAAAGACCTCGCTTCGAGTGCATACTGCAGGATGTATAGCCTCTGGCTGAGGCGTGGGAAGGTCAGTGAGCAGAGGCGCATCCGACTGTATGATGCCCTGGTACTGCCCGTTCTTTTGTATAACTGCGGCGCATGGGGGATCACGGCAGCACAAGCAGAATCGCTAACGTTTTCCACCGGAAGCAGCTCCGACGGCTCATTGGCATAGTCTACCCAGCCAGGATATCAAATACTGAGCTGTATGAGAGGTGCAACACGGAACCACTATACATCTGACATCGTGGACAGGAGAAGATTGCAGCTAACCGGCCATATTCTCCGTATGGACAGGGATGCGCCGCCATGGATCGCGCTGACGGGCTATTTTGCAGGAGATGCCAAGGCTGGGCGTGGACGTCCAAGGACATCCATTGCGACGCGCATCACAAGCGACTTACAGAGGAGGAACATCAGCTTGAAGCGCAGCAGTCAGCTGGGGAATGTGAGGGCCATCGCTCTGGACAAGCCTACATGGAGAAATCTGACCGACAACCCATGATCTGGCGTCACAGGTCATCATTGCGCCGCGTTAATAATTATCTTGATAATGGAATTTGATCATAGGAGATAGGACAGAAGCGGAACGTATAATTATACCCACATAATTATATTATTACGCGTGCTGTGGTATTATTATTATTATTATTATTATTATTATTATTATTATTATTTCTCCTTTATTCACTTCTTTCGAAGGCGATAAGCCAGACCCACCGGGAAATATTTCCATGGGTGGGACAGCAAAAAGAAAGTGAAAAAACTAAAACAAAAATAAATAAATAAATAAAACCTAAAAACCAAAGGGACAAGAAATAGTTGAAGGAAGAGGAAGAAAGGAAAGAAACTCAATCCGAACTCCAACATCAAAACAATAATAAAGAATTTGCAGCGACAGGCAAAATACATCAACCAATGAAGGGAGTAGTAACAAAGGAAATATCAGTCTTTAGACGGTCGTTATTCAAGTCTCTTAGCTATTGAACATGCAAACGCAGCAGAGGTGCATCTACATGTTAAGGATAGTATTTTAATCGAACCTTGTATAGCCTCCTGTTGCACAATAGCCAGGTCTCCTCCCTGCACAGTCCGAAGGCATTGAGGAGTCTCCCCCACCAAGCCTCCCAGGGCACCGACAACCACAGGGACCACGTCAACCTGGGTGAGGGACCAAATCCTTGAAATCTCCCGCTTCAAATCATAATATTTCGAGCGCTTTTCAGCCATTTTCTTATTGATGTTGTTCTCACCAGGAACGCTGATGTCTATAATGTAGGCGATGCGCTCTTTGTCATCAACAAGGAGCAGATCGGGCCGGTTTGCTGATAGTTTCAGGTCAGTTGGGACCGAATACTCCCAATAGAGGCGATACCGATCACTCTTGACCAATGCCTTGAGCTGGTGGTCGAATCGTGAAGCACCAGTAGGTAGATCTCGTGCTCTACACATTTCGAAGTGCACATACTTTACTACATGTATCCGGTTATGTCGTTCAATGTAGCTGGTCCGAGCAAGAACTGGGCAGGCACTGACAATGTGGTCAATTGTTTCTAAGCTGCCCTTGCAAAGCCTGCAATTGGCATCTGTTCGAGCAATTGACTTCATTATGGCGTACAGTCAGACCTCGCTTAACCGCACACATCCGTTTTCCACAAAAATATCCGGATAGGCGAGGGAACCGGATAATCGAACACACACACTGTATGTATGCATGGCATATGCTGTAAATCCGTAACCAGTGATTTTCTTCCGGATGGCGAGGTATCCGGATAAAAGAGGACCGGATAAGCGAGGTCTGACTGTATTGGTAATTTTTCGTTTTGAGGGATTGGTCTTGTGCTGCCATAATCATGCCTTCAGTTGAAGGTTTCAGTGTCCTTGATTTCAACCACATGAAGGTAAGCTCCTTATCTAGGCGATTCTCCTCCAATCGGCTCCAATATCTCCCATGCAGCGGCATAGTGGAAAGTGTTTTGGATTTTCGCTCAGCGCACGCTTGTTTAATGGTATGCTTATTGGGTAAAGCTGGTCCAGCTGCTGGCAGATCCAAACTCGACAGGAACTTAGCGGCCTTTGCAGTTATTGAGTGGCTTTTTGTTGTAGGTTTTTGTTGATGATACTGATAAAGCAGGTTTATTCTGTCTATTGGGCTGGTACTCATGTAGCGGGCCAGGCCACACATGCTCCGGCCGTGCATATCCTCACAAGAGACCAAGCCCCGGCCTCCATCTCCCCTCTTCATGTAGAGCCTGTTGACTGAGGCTTTGGGGTGGTGAAATCCAGACGCAGTCAAGGCTGATCTTGTCGCTCGATCTGTGGTCTTGATTTCAGCCTCGGTCCAATTTACGATTCCATAACTATATGTCATAACAGGCAGAGCATACGTATTGATGGCCTTGATCAAGTTTCGCGCATTCAATCCACTGTTAAGAAGCAAATACAATCTCTTTTTGTATTCTGCAGCGAGTTGCGTCTTGAGCTGCGGGTGAGGTATCATGGCTGCTTGCACTACTCCAAGGTACTTGTATGTTTCATTGAGTCGTAGCGACTCTGCAATGGTCTCATCGTCAACCTGGATAGAGCAGCCTTCATCTGGTTTTCCTCTCCTGACGTGCAGCACGG